GGCGGCCCCGTAAGCGCGGCGCCGCCCGTCCCAGACGGGGCTGAGGAGGCAGAGGCGGCGGCGCCCAGCCGCCCCGCGGCGAAGGCGGCGCCGAGCGGCGGCGCGCACGCCTACCTGGCGGCCAACGTCGAGGCCGACGCTGGGGAAGGGCTTCCCTTCACTGGGCCGCTGCTGCGCCAGGACCGACGCTCCGACGATGCGCGCCATGGTTCCATGTTCAAGGCGCTCAGTAGCAGGACAGAGCCAAGCGCTGCGGCGGACTTGGATGGGCCCGACCGAAGGGCGGGCAGTCCTCAGCCCAGCCAGGGGCCCATACGGAATAGTGGGTACCCAATTCAAGTTGGCGAGGCTAAGGGCGAGTGCGTGAGACCCCCTGAGGTTCGGAGCCCCAAGGCGGCGGGCAGCCGCCCGCCTGGCGGCCGCGCGGGCGCCGCGGCAGCCGCGAAGCCTGCAGCCCAGCCCCAGCCAGGGCGACCGCAGGCCAAGCCCCTACAGCTGGCCAAGCTGCAGCGCACGGAGGCTGTCAGGAAGCTTAGCCCCCTCACCAAGTGCTGGCGCTGCCTCGGGAGGATCGCCAGGCAGCTCAGTGCGGCTGCTGCCGTCAGCTCACCCCCTGAGGGGCACGGGGGCTACATGAAACACCTGGTGCAGGTGGCCAAGAGCTTGGGGCCCAAGTTCGAGCAGGCGGGCTGCTCCATGTTTGAAGGCACTAAGCTGGACTCGCTGACTGTGGTGATCCAAGAGCCCTCTGTGCAAGGGCAGGCCTTCCTGCAGATGATCGAGAGCGCGGCGGCAAGACTCTGCAAAGAAGAAGCCAAGGCGGCCAGGCTGCGCTGGATGGACTACGCGGACGTGGCCTCGACGAAAGGGGCGAAAGGAGCCCGCGATGTCATACAGGACCGCGATCAGGGGCTGGACTCGGTGATCGCGCACTGCCCCGACTGGCTGACGCTCCCCGTTGTAGTCCAGCAAGCCCAGAACCAGATCCGCATAGAGTGGAAGGCCCCCTGGAAAGGAGCCGATAGGGAGCACAGGACCAGACCAGCCGATTGGATCTGCTCCATGGTGCTGCCCCCGTTCACGGTGGGCGACAGCCTCGAGGCGGCGAAGTCGCTCCCGAAGCAGACCGCTCTGGGCTGGGATGCGTTCCACCCGCGGCTGGTCCTCTCCCAGGGCAGGCCCTTCGCCGATATGATGGCAGAGGTGCTCACGGCTTGGGTGTTGCAGCCGCAGCCCACGGCCCTCTTCACCACGGTGTTCCTCTTCCTGGGGAAGCCAGACGGAGGCCGCCGCCCGATCGGCCTCATGGGCAAGTGGTTGCGCATCTGGTGCAGGGTGCGCCGCCGCTACGGTGTCAAGTGGGAGAAGGACCACCAGCCCACTTTGGTCTGGGGCAAGGATGCGAACAGCTGTGACATGGCGGTCTACCCACACAACCTGGGGCTCGCGCTCGCCCGCCAGCTTGGCTTTGGGGCAGCCTCAGTCTATCTCGACGGCAAGTCCTACGCGCGGACCGACCACGACCGTTTCAAGCGAACTGCCGAGTTGGTGAGCTTGATGGGCCACCGCTACGAGGAGCTCTTCTGCCAGGACCTCTTCGTCGGCGCCCAGTACCAGGTGCAGAGGCCGCGCTGTGACCCTGGCGGGGCGCGCCGCTCGCGCGGCTGGGACGCGGGCGCACTCGTGGTGCCCGCGGGCACCCTCGTCTTCACGGACGGCTCCTGCGTCAACAACGACTTGATGAGCAGGAGCGCGGTCTGGTCGGTGGCGGTTCTCACGACCGTTGGCGAGTGGGTGGTGCAGGCGAGGGGTGCGGCGCCGTCTGCCCTGAAGCTCATCCCCTCCCGTTCGCGGGCGGCCATCGAGCGGGGCGACCTCAAGGAGGTGGAGCTCTTCGGCAACCGCCTCGTGGGCCAGCTCGCGAAGGCGGGCGCGGCGATGCACGCCATCGCCGACGAGGGGGCCCGCCTGCTCCAGGGCTGCCAGGCCCGCGCCCGCTTCGCGGCGCGCTTCGCCGCCGAGTTCAAGGTCCAGGACACGGAGTCGGGCTTGCGGGACCTCACCCCCTACATTGCGGCGGAGCTCGACGGGGAGGCCGACCCCCTGTTCGCCGCCGCGGCGGAGCCCGCCCCTGGGACAGGTGGATTCAGCCCACCGAAGTCGCAGTCCCAGGGGCGCGGCCAGTTCGGGAAGAAGCACGACGTGGAGGTGCGCGCGGCTGGCATCGCGGAGCTGGACGCGCTGTTGGCTGCTCCTGACGGCGCGGCGCTGGCGCGCGGCAGCGGCATCTCGGAACCCATCGAGCTCCCCGAGGGCCGCGAGGCAGCCGCCGCTGTCGGGCACGCCGCTGGCGGAGGCCCTGGGCAGCCGCCGCGGCCTGCAGACAGCAGCCTGCCGCCCCCAGCTGCCCCCTTGGTGCGCCGCCCGCGGCGGGTTCGCCAGGCGCCACGCGACGCGGAGCACGTCGCGCTGTATGGCGATGGCAACGTGAAGGAGATCGACGCGGAGCTTTGCGGTGGCTACGCCGAGGCGCAGGCCTCGGCGGCTGATGGCGGCCCCCTCCTCGCCACGGCGGCGGCCCTGGCAGCGGTGGCGGCTGCTGGCGCCTCCAGCTCGCGCCCTTCGCCCATGAGGCGCCGCCCCGCCTCGGCCGAGTCGCCCGCGGATGCCCTGCGACGTGTCGCCCAGCGCAGGGCGCAGGTGCAGCCGAGGCGCCGCGAGGCCTCAGCCCCCGCGCCCTGCCCGCGCCTGGCGGCGGCGGAGGCGGCGAGCAGCGGACCAGCCACTGCGGAGGCGGCTGATGCAGCCCGTCCAGCGGGATGGAGGGTCAACGGCCACCTCCTCATGGAGTCGAGAGTCGAAGGAGACGACTCCGAGCCCTTCTTGGTCTGCGCGGCTTGCTGGATGTACTGCCGCCTCCCCAGGTACGCGCGCCGCGGCCTGGGCAAGCAGTGCGGGGCCAGCGCGGCGGCTGGGCAGCCCAAGTGCAAGAAGGGATCCAGAGCCCAGGCGCGGTCGGACTTCGCTCGCGGCATCCTGCCAGCGTCGAAGGAGCCGATCGCGCCGCTGGCCTCGCCAACGGAGTGCACGCGCCGGCGCTGGGCGGCGGCGCTCCAGGCCAGGCAGGGCCACGGCGCGGAGGGGCAGGCGCTCGTGGCAACGCCCGTGCCAGCGCAGCGGCTGCCAGCAGCCGCCCAGCCCCCACCGCCTGCGGCTGGCGCTGGGAGCCAGGCGGCTGCGCCGCCGAGCGCCGCGGCTACGCGGCGGCTGGCCGCGGCGGCCCCGCGGGAGGAGGCCGCCGAGCCGCGGCGGTCCCGCCCAGGGCTCGAGGGTGTACGTGGAGCCCACGGCTTCGCGGTCGCAGCGGCGGCCCGCGAGCGCGGGCGAGCCGCGACGGCAGCGGCCGCCCGCGCAGGCCGCGCGGGGACGCGCGCCGCGGGCTGAGGCGGCCTCGGCAGGCGGCTGTAAGCGCCCGCGCGGCCCTCCGCCTCTCCGCCTTGAATTTATGCAAGAATCCGCCGAGCCCGCTCGGCGCCCACACAGATAAAAAATGCCCTCACCGTCATCGGGATTGACCCAGACGCTTGAACCCCAGAACCTCGAACGACGTACCGTTTTTTTCCAAGCGCCTGCATGCGGGCCAGGATGTGCGTCCACATGCGGCTTCCCGCACGCCCTGGCACACCCCTCACACGCCCCGCTCCCTCTGCCGGCCCCCCTCCTTGTTTTTCACCTGCCTCGCGCGATATTCGCAGCCGCCGCACACCTCGTGCAAACCTTCCTGGCCTGAGCGCGTTGCCTTAACCTCGTCCCTGCAGGCAGACACCTTCTGCAAAACACGGCAGCGGATTTTTGCCAAACGCTGTTGCGAAGCATGTTGTGCTGTGCCTCCCGCGGCCGCCCCCTCCCGCCTCGCCCGCCTCTCTTTTGCGTCAGCCCGTACCTTCGCGACCCACCTGAGCTCCGACCGCGCGGAGCGCGTCCGCTGGCGCCACGACGAGACAGCATCCGCAGGCCTAGAGATCGACACCAGCACCAAGATCGGCGGTGCGCCTTCACCGAGGGAAGGTGCTCCCGATCTCGGCGATGGTGGTCAGATTCGGGCTTCCTGAGTGGCCGAATGTATGACCACCAGCGCCAAGATCTAGGTGCACCTTTGCCCCTGTGGAGGCACCCCCTTGTGCTGGTGTGGGTGCACGTTCCCAGGCCTCTAAAATTAAGTCGGGCCGCTCCCTGTACAGGAGGATTATTCAAACAAATAATCAAAAAATAGTATGGGGATTATTTCTTGGGTATTTTTTGACCATTTTGGAGTATGTGTTGGGTATTTTTATTTGTCGTCGAAATCTCCCTGTAGGGGGACACGCCCGACTTGACTCTAAAGCACTGCGTGTGTGTGTGTGTGTGTGTGTGTGTGTGTGTGTGTGTGTGTGTGTGTGTGTGTGTGTGAGAGTGTGTGTGAGTGTGTGTGTGTTGCTGCTGCTGCCTTGGGAGTCTCGAGCACTGCTGCGCGGCGCGAGACCCTGCCCGCACTCTGGAGGCAGCGTCTGGTGGTCTGCCGCCCGCGGCCGAGGGTTCGGATCTCTGGCGCCGACGCGCCTCGTGCAACGCTGCGCCACCTCCACCGAGAGGGGGCCTCGACGCCCCAGGCTGCCCCCCTGAAAGACAGGGGTCTAGGATCGATATTATACCCTAGGGGCCCTTTTCGAGGCGCAGAGCCCGAGCAGGGGCACCCGAAGACCTGGACCCCCCACGGGCCTTTACCTTTGCCTCCTCCGTCGCCTCCCCCTTCGCCTCTATCTCTCCTGCCTCGTCAAGCACCTTGCTCCACGCCCTCCTCCTCCTCCTCCTCCTCCTCCTCCTCCTCCTCCTCTTCCTCCTCATCGCCCCATCTTCCCGGCCATGCCTACTTCCCTACCCCTCTTCACCCCTCTTCCTCCTTTTCATCCGCCTCTTCAGCAGAATCCTTCTTCCCCGTCACCGCCACCCCCTCTCCCGAGGAATTTCCCGAACCGCCTGGGCCAGGGCGCAAACGTTTACCTCTCGAGCGCAGAGCTCGCCGCCATTGCCGCCATCCTCGGCAAGCTGCCCACGAAGGACCGGGAAGGGTGAGAGGGATGGTGGTGTACTGGGAGCTGGGAGGAAGAGGGAGGAGGAGGCGGAGGAGGAGGAGGGGGATAGTCAGCAAGAGAAGGAGGAAGGAGCAGCGAGGGGCATTTGTCGCCTCTGGGTGTCCTATCCAGCTGGTCCTCAGTACTCCTCCACACCTCCCTGCTGCTGCGTACATTCCTTCTCCTACTGCGTCGCTTCATCGCGCTCCTCGTCATGATCGTCCCCTTCTTGCCTGCACCCCAGTTGCCATTTCCATCGTCGCCCGCTGTCGTCGGCATAGATGCTCTCTTTCCTTACTCCTGCGTCCTCCTCCGTAGCACTCTCAGCCGTCATCCTCGCTTTTTTCGCCCTCCTCTCTTCTCCTTACGTCCTCATGCGTAGCACTCCCATCCGTCATCCTCGCTCTTCCTCGCCCCCCTCTCTTCGCCTATTCCTTCTCCTCCTCGCCTCCGTCATCGCCCGGTGTCCGCCCGTTTACGCTCAGCAACAGCAGGCCCCCATCACACGGGAGCCTCCTCTTATTCCTCCTCCTCCTCCTCCTCCTCCTCCTCCTCCTCCTCCTCCTCCCTCTCCTCCCATTCCTCCTCCTCCTCCTCCTCCTCCTCCTCCTCCTCCTCCTCCTCCTCCTCCTCCTCCTCCTCCTCCTCTTCCTCCCCCCCCTCCTGAGGTTCGGAGTGTAGGGTCGGTGGGTTCGTTGGCCTTGTAGATTTCTTGTCGAGTAGGCCGAACTCCAGCCGATTTTCAGCACGTCTTCGTCCGATCGTTGCACTAGCGCACGCTGTAGAGCACATGTAGCAGCAGAGCAGAGACATATGGGACCAGGAAGGGCATTCATTCATTCATTCATTCCCCCCCCTCCTGATGGGACAAAGTGTTGCGCCATGGCTGTCGGTGCGACTATATCCAGCGGAGCCGACGTCCGAGAGCGCCCTCGCCTCGCGAAAGCTCAGCAGGAGGCAGACCGAGACGTCGTGGTCGCCCTGCCGGACCAAGTTCGGCGATGGATCCGGCCCAGGTCATTGGCCCTCGAGGAGTTCATATAACGCAGTCTGCATTGCTTGCCCTGTACCGCTGGAGTCGAATTTGCACATCGAGCTCAACACCTTCTGCCAAAATTGTCACTAGCGCTCACCCGAGGTTGTCAGGACCGAGAACGCTATTCTCAAGGGCTCGCATGTTTGTGAGGTTGTGCGGCGGGTGTATAGGAGGGGGCCCTTGTCGGCTAAGCCTGTTTCAAACTATTTGACGCCATGTCGCACATGCACGCCTTTTGAGGCAAGGGGTGATTTCGCAGCCACTGGGTGGCAAAGTTTGTGAGCCGAGTACTGAAGCCGATGCAGCTGTGCTTGTTCAACCCGCGCAGTGCAACGTGAAGTCTGATCGCTACTGTTCTTACCCTTCTCCTGAGCCTCCTGCGTCGCGTAGTATGGTTTCCACACGTGCGCAGCCCGACGGTTACCAGCAGCGCGACGCTGTGCATCACGACAGGCCCCTGCAGTACGACAGTAGGAAGCACGACGAAGGCACCACCTACAACTCTAGCATCCACGCGTGCGCATCGCGAAGGTGTGTAATATCAGCCAGTAGCAGCTGCAGGACTGCCGCACCGCCGGCTCTGACCGCCGCTCGTCCACAGCAGGACGGATGCCAGCTGGACGACACAGCGATACTTGGCACCCCGGTGGGCCTCACAGCCGACGGGGTTACGTTAGCGGCCACGCGGCCAGAAGCATCCTGCCCCCTTTATGTGTCCCCACAGGGGCCCGCCAGAAGATCGCCTGACTTTGATACCCACGCGCGCGACGAGCAGTTTGACGAGCACCACGTCCCAGAGCTACACCTCAGAGGCCTACACCCCGAAGGAGGGTTGCAGCGGCATGCGTAGCACTGTGACGTTTGCCAGCACCTTTGCGCTGAGCAGCATGATGGCGTCCAGCAGCCCGGCGCCGACCACCACGACGGAGTGCAGCCCTTGCCGACACTGGCGCTCTCCTCGTGTGCAGCAGTAGGACGTATGCAGGCACTCGAGCGCTCACCAGCTGGGCGGATTCCCGCTGCACGGCGCATGCCAGCAACACGGGGAGCTGTTCTCACGGCGCGGGCGCCCATGATACGATCCATGCATCTGATCTATGATCCGCACGCGGCGCTCCGGCCCGGCACCGGCAGACGCACAGTGCGTGCACACTCGGGGCTTCTGGTACGGTGGGGGCGCTGAGGAAGGCACGCGCCCAGGAGGCTGCAGACCCTGGAGGATTCCTTCTCCGGTGAGGGCGGCGGTGATGTCCATGGCCAAGCTTCGACTGGAGTTCCGCCGGCCTCCAGACCCTGGATGCCTTCTCTGAGGGTTCCGTATCCAGTGCCCCCCACCGCAGCACGACGTCGGACAGCACCCGGGGGCACCGTGAGCACGACGCTGCGCAGCACGACGGGGGTCCGCACCACGCCGTGGCCAGTCGCGACGGGGATGGCGTGCCCTGCGCCCACGCGGCACGCCGGGGCGCAGGGCACGAGGCACCGCCAGCACGCGAAGGAGCAGCACGACTGGGAGCAGCTGCGGGTCGTGTACAGTCACGCACGGGTCGGGGCGTGTGCCAGACGCACCAGGGCTCGAGCTACACTCGAAGAAGAAGCAGCGCTGTGAACATAAGCTTTTGGCGCTCCGCGCGGGTTTCTCGGGTGCGCGCTGCGGCCCCCTGGCGGCGCGCCCCGCGAGCCAGGGAGGGGGGTCCAGCGCAGATCCAAGAAGTCCGCGCGGAGCGCCACAAGTTTATGTTTCTGCCAGTGGTTCTTCTTCTATAAACGGTGTCTGGGCGAGATCGTGGACTGTTTGCGTTTTCATGTCCCTCGGCCGCAGGGGCGGAACGAAGACAAGACGGGGGACAACGACAGGAAAACGCAAGTTGGAAAACACTCTTTAGCTCTAGCCCTGTCGTGCACCACGTAATCGAGCAGCACGGCGGGTCCGTACGGCACGCCGCAGAGCAGCACGACGGGGAGCAGTGGGAGGTACTCAGGAGGCTCGAAGTGAGGGCAGGCTGGTTGGCGCGCCGTTCCCGACTCGCCTGGCGTTGTATCCCCCGCTGTCTGGCCGTGATGTGGGCCGCACTGTGGAGCCACACATCCTGTTCCTCTTCCTCCTCCCTGCCCCGTGGGTTCGCGGTGCCAATGGGTTGCTGTTCGCCGGCTGGACGAGGCCGTGTACTGCCCTGCAGTAGTCGCTCGCTTCGAGCGCGCAGGCGGTTTGGGGCATCTCGGGACCTACCTCGCTGGGGCTTCTTGGGGGCCCCTTAGGGGCCTGCTGGCGATCTCGCGGGTCATCTTGGGGCGGATGGCTCGAACTAGAAGTCCGAGTTCCCCCTCTTGGGCCCCTCTTGGGGCCCTCCTGGGCCATATTAGGGACTTCTTGGGTCGTCTTGAGACCCACCTGGGCCATCTTGGGGCTGTCTTGGGGGCCTCTTGGCCCGTTTCGGGGCGACCTTGGGGGCATCCTGGGCCGCCGTGGAAAGTCCGGAGCCCGAAGAGGTGCGAACGCCAGCATTTGTCGGCACACATAAGGGCAATGGTTTGGGCCTCTTGGGGCCCTCTTGGGGGGGGGGCATCTTGGGGCCCTCTTGGGGGGCCTCTTGGGGCCTCTTGGGGCCCTCTACAGGAGGAGTATTCAAAAATAGTCAAAACATAGTCAGGGGACGATTTCTTAGATTTGTTTGACCAGTTTTGCACATATTTTGGATATGGTTTATTTTTCCTCCGAACTCCGCCTGTAGGGGGACATGCCCGACCTAATCTTGGGCCGACTCGACACCCCCTTGGACCATCTTGGAGGACACATGGCACCCTCCTGGCCCGTCCTGGGGCCTTCTTGCCTCCGAAGCGTGGCTGCCCTGACACGTCCGTGCCGAGACGTAACGCGTACCGTGTTCGAAACGTCCGTGTTGGCACGCTGCGTTTTGGATCCGCGCGTGCTGGACCACGTTTTGGCGAGCGTGTGGCGCCAGATCTGCGTGTTCAGACCACCTGTTGAGGTCCGTGTCGGCACGCTGCGGGTTGCGTGTTGCGTACTGTGGCGGTTCAGCTCCTGGCCCGTCTTGGGGCCTTTCTTTTGTTTCTGGACAAGTCTCACGACGACGCGCGGCAAGCCCCGAGAGTGCCCGGTAGCGCTCGTCATTCTGTGCTGCGGCCTCACCGAAGAGAGGTCCAGCAATCCACACGGAGGGCTCCGTCGCCGCTGCCGCACCGCACCGCTGAAGAGAGGTCCAGTAATCCTCACAGAGGGCTCAGTCGCATCATGAGCTCCGCACCGCACTTGTTCGTCCCCCCGTATGCCCTCACCCTCGTTCCTCCCCCTCGTCGTCGTCTCATTTCCAGCTGCCTTCCCACCCCTCGAGAAGGTCGAGGAGGAGGATGGACAGTGATAGAGGAACGGAAAGGAGTCACAGGAGGATCTGGAGTTTGAGAAGAAAACGGACCATCAACTTAATGAGGACAATGAGGAGGATATCGCTAGGAACACGAGGACCAGGAGGAGCATGATACGGAATAGCAATGGAACCTAGAGGGTGATCAGGTTCAGGAGCAGGGCCAAGCAGATAAGGCGGGTGCGGAAGAGAAGGAAGAGGAGGGGGAGAAGAACGAGGACGGGCGGGGAGCTGAAGGAGGAGCAGGCAGCTCTGACAGGAGAAGTACCTCGACATGTACAAGTCCCTGCTCAAGAAGAAGGACTCCACCTACAAGTACCTGAACTTCGACCAGTACTCAGACTACGTCGAGTCGGCGAAGGCGCCTGCTCCCACTCGTCTTCGCGCGACCACTCTGTAGACGAGCCCACAGGTCAGAAGGGGCGGGGGAGGGGGCGGGGGAGAGGACGGGGGAGCGGCGATGGAGAAGCGGTGGAGCCGGTGGGGGGGGGGGGGGAGGACGCGGGAAGGGGCTGCCGGGCAAGGGGGGCTGGGCGCGGGGGGGGCGGTCGAGGGAGGGGAGGGAGGAGCCGGATCCGAGGGGGGAGGGGGGAGAAAGCTCTGGGGAGGGAGGGGGAGAGGGAGGGGGGGAGAGGGAGGGGGGAAGAGACGGGGATGGGACGGGGTGGGGATGGGGTCAAGCTGCCCGCCCCTGGAGGACGGTCGTCTCGCTCACTCCCACCTGCTCTCCCAGCGCATGAATAGAAGCAGCGCCCGAGTTTCAGCGGGCGCCATCAGCCATCCTTGGACACCAGTGCAAACGCCAGCCTGGCGCGCGACGCCCGCGAGGTGCGCCGCGCTTGCCATGGCATCCCCACCATCCCGGTCAAAGAACAACGCGAGTTGCTCGCGGAGCGCCCGCGTATGGTCCAAGATATTGCCGCAGCGCTTTGCATCGATTTCAGCATAGATGGTGGGCCTGCGCACACCATGCGATATGACGCTCCCCCGCCCTGCCTGTCGGAAAGCACATGTAAAGTGATCGCGTGGCGACCGAACATGGCCCGTTGTTTTCCGCAAGAGACATGCAGTATTGTTTTGTTCGCAGGAGTGGCGTCGTCATGGTGGCAGACTTGCCCTCGGTCAGGTGGGGCAGGGAGTGCATATCGATACGGATTAGTGGCTGCGGAGGGGGGTGGAGGGAGAGAAGGGGGAAGAAGTCAGAGGGGGGAAAAACACAGACACGATCAAACGTCGGCTTCCAGGAAGATATGGGAAAGCAGGGGAAGTGGGGAGGGAAGACGAAAGTCCAGAAACTGTGGGAAGAGATGGAGACTCCTGGAAGATTTGTGCTTGTGCCTGGGCCCCTTCAAGAGAAGGTGAGGCAGGAGGACAGGCGGAGGAAATGCCGAGGGGAGGGGGGGGGGTACATGGGGAGGCGGGCGAGGAGGAGGACGGAAACGGACACTCCAGGTCTCCCAATAAGCGTGGGGGAGTGGATCGCGTGGGGGTGTGGGAAATCGCTGTCCTTCGGGGGGCGTGGGGAGGTTGGGGAGCGAGAGGGGGTGGGTGTGGGGCGCGTGGGGGGGCGGGCAAGGGGCGTCGGACAGGTTGGCACGGGGGGATTGCTTATTGAAAGATGTGGAGTAGGGTCACAAGCGCTTGTGTTCAGTCGGGCCTGTCCCTCTACAGGGCGAAAGTTCAAAAATGGTCCAAACATATAGCCTGGGGACGATGTTTCTAGCATGTTTTACCATTATTGAATGCGTTTTGGAGATCTATTATCTTTCGTCGAACATCGGCCTGTAGGGGGACATGCCCGACCTAAAGCTTGTGGGTGGGGAGGGTAACTGGAGGAATGGGGAGGAGGTGGAGGGGAAGAGAGGCGAGGGGAAGGGAGCGGCAGATGAGAGGAGGAGGCGTGGAGTCCTGAAGGGGGGATCTGGAGACGGAGGTGGAGGGGAGAGAGGGTGCGAAAGGCGAGGAGAGGCGGGAGAAAGGGGGGAGGCAGGGATGGGCAGAAGGAGGAGGAGGAGGAGGAGGAGGAGGGGGAAGAAGAGAAGGAAGACAGGGGATGAGCAGAATGCTAAACATATCGTTGGGAGGAGGAGGAGGAGGAGGAGGAGGAGGAGGAGAAGGAAGAGGGGATAATGACAAGCTAGATGCGCTCGCACAATATCTGACATCCCTTTCTATTGTGCTGAGCAGCTATCGTTCCGCCGACGCGTGCCATACTGGACCTTCATATCCCAAAATGACCTCTGATCGTCAGATGCGACATCGGAACAGGAGAGCTGCGTACACTGGAGGAGAAGGTGGCGGATAAGCAGAAGGAAAAGGAGGATGAGGAAAGAGAGGGACGATGACGAGCAGCAGCAGCAGCTGGAGCTGGAGTGGAAGTAGCGGGAGGAGTGGGAGGGCAAGGGAAAGGCGGAGGAGGGGCAACAAAGATGAGAACGGATTCGGGTTCCGAGCAATTGCCCGCGTTGAGGCGATAGTTTTGTTCTGAACGACGGGAGCAGAGCGCCGACCCTAGCATGAGGCCCTCGCTGTAGCGGGAACACCGTTTTGAAGTTCCGAGAACGTTCTAATGGAGGCACTTCGTAGCAAAGCCAAGTGCTGGAATCCTGTGTGTGTGTGTGTGGAAACAGTGCGAGGAGAGGGCGAACCATGTTCCAGACAGAGCCAGGGGAGAAGGGAGAGTAGTATTCATATTCAGTAAGTGTGATGATGATGCTTATGATGAAGGTGATGATGATGATGATGATGATGATGATGATGATGATGATGATGATGATGGTGATGATGGTGATGATGGTGATGATGATGATGATTATTATGATTATGATGATGATGATGCTGATGATGATGATGATGCTGATGATGATGATGATGATGATGATGATGATGATGATGATGATGATGATGATGGTGGTCATGATGGTCATGATGACGAGGAGGAGGACGAGGAGGAGGAGGTGGAGGAGGTGGAGGGTGGTGGAGGAGGAGAAGAGGGAGAAGGGATGATAATGCTGCAGGGCGCGGGCTGCGGTTTTTGGCGCACTGGGGCTGAGAGGAAGATGAGAAGCAGCAGGAGTAGGGGAGATGAAAAGGGGAATGAGGAGAGAACGGGGACGAGGAGAGGAGGAGGAGGAGGAGGAGGAAGAGGAGGAGGAGGAGACGAGGAGGAGGGGGAGGAGGAGGAGGAGGATGGAGGGGGGGGATGAGGAGGAGGAGGGGTGAGGAGGAGGAGGAGGAGGAGTGAGGAGGAGGAGGAGGAGGTCAGGAGGAGGGAGAGGAGGAGGAGGAGGGAGGAGGAGGAGGAGGAGGAGAGGAGGAGGAGGAGGAGGAGGAGGAGGAGGAGGAGGAGGAGGGGGAGGAGGAGGAGAGGAGGAAGGAGGAGGAGGGGAGGAGGAGGAGGAGAGGAGGAGGGAGGAGGAGGAGGAGGAGGAGGAGGAGGAGGAGGAGGAGGAGAAGGAAGCACCGGCGAAAGCAGAGGAGGCGGGGAGGGAGAGGAGAGGGGAGCTCCCCTGCCTCCAGCGCTCCCGACCTCAGGCGGTCGTTGTCGAGCAGGAGGTGATGGACGTCCAGTGCTCAGCGACTGCAGTCCGAGTGATCAGCTCCTCTTCCTCCTCATCCGCCTGCGCTATCTCCTCCTCCTCCTCCTTCTTCACCCCCACCTCGCACAGCAGCACACCCTCACGTGCAGCCTGCCTCCGCCATTCGCGCACGTGTTGCAGCATCGCTTGTGCACACAAGCCTGCATAGCTGACATGACATCCTTGCACAGTTCACCGATCCAGCGACGGGCTTAGCCTATTCCGTGTACGCATATCTTTCGGCATGCAGCCCCACTCGTTGAGTAACACGCCTCTCCTCCCACTCCTCCACTTCCACCTCCTCCTCCCGCTCATCCTCCCCTTCCTTATCCTCCTCCTCATCATCCTCTTCTGAATGCTCTCCTTCTCCTCATTCCCTTCCTCCCCGTCCTCCGCCCTGACTTCCACTGTAGCCGTCACGCTTCTGCACTCCAGCTCGAAATTTCGGAGAAGCGGACAGTTGTTCCGTTGTTCAGGTCCAGGGTTCGTCTCGATTTCTGTGTGAAGGCGTTGCGAGATGCCAGCCCGCTGAGGTTCCCCCTGTGGTGCTCTAGCGACTCTTCTTCGCTCTCCCAGAAGAAGGCGCACGCGTCTCGAGTATCCCCCCTCGCTGCCTCCCTCAGTTATCGGTCCTCCCCCCTCCTCCTGGAAGCCTGAATCCTCGATCTTCCTCCAAGCTCCCCCTGTCAAGGCCCAGAAGAAGGCGCACGCGTCTCGATCCTCCCGTTTCCCCCCCCCCCCCCCCCTGAGTCCTGGTTCCTCGCCCCTCATCTTGAAAGCCACACTGTTCGATCCTTCCCCCTGCTTCGCATTGCAAGCCGCACGGCGAGGACGGTAATGCTGACATTGACGACCCTGTTCCTGATGATAATGTGGATGTGGGCAGAGAGTCGTGTCCCGACTGCGGGGCCAACTACAAGGGAGACCCATGCCAAGAAACACCCTGCTTGTCTCCAGGGTGCCATGGGTTTCTTGGGTTTCGATGGTTTTGCCAAGGAAAGCGTGACGTTCCCACAACAAAAATCAATGGACGTCCTGGGGTCTCAGGGCTGGGTTTCTTGTCCAAGGTCTCTTGTGGTCGGGCCCCTACTGCAGTGTCCTTCATTTCTGCCACTCGTCTCCCGCAGACTTGCCTCCTCTGGAGGCAGGCCAGTCCGAATTCGGCTCCCAGCTTCGATCCACGCATCCCCCCACCCCCCGCCGAGAGGCCCCGAAGTGAGCGGCACGCGTCTGGATTCCCTTCCCCTCTCTCCCCCCTCAGTCATCGATCCTGCCCCCCCCTCTTCCAGCTCGATCCTCCTCACTCCTCCCCCTGTTGATCCTCAATCCTCAATCCTCAATCCTCCTCCTACTCCTCTTCCTCCTCCTCCTCCTCCTCCTCCTCCTCCTCCTTCTCCTCCTCCTCCTCCTCCTCCTCCTCCTCCTCCTCCTTCTCCTTCCCTGCTCCTTCCACCTCAGTCCTCCACGCTGCTCGACCCCCCCCCCTCCGCCGAGGCCCAGAAGAAGGCGTACGCGTCCTCGTGGCTGAGCGCCCTCCTCCCCCACCCCCCCCGCCGCGCCGCGGTCGGCCTGGCTGCGCCCGCGGCGCCCCCGCGGCCGCGCCGCGGCCCGTCGCGCCTCGGACCGAGGCACGGTCCTGTGCGTTGCCTTGCGGCTGGCGCCGCAGAGGTGGCGGGCGAGGGGGCGCCGCCGGCCCGCTTCCGACCCGAGCGCCCGGCGAGCCCCGCGGCGCATCTGCAACGAGGAGAGGGGGGGGGAGGAGGAGGAGGAGGAGGAGGAGGAGGAGGAGGAGGAGGAGGAGGATGGAGGAGAGGAGGAGGAG